CCAGCCCTTTTCTCTGTCCCACCAAGTTCCTGGGAAAAACAACAACAACAAAAAGTATATAGCGGGGCTGGCTGAAAGGCTTTGCAGGAGCCTGCCCGGGGAGAGGGAAGCTCAAACAGCTGCTGCCAGTTTTGGGCACGGAGGGCGTGGATCTGGCGGAAGGAAAGAAAAAGGAGGAAAGAAAGGGGTGGTAGCTGTGGCTGTTGTTGGAGAGAGACCAGGTGAAGTCGAAGAGCGATTTGAGGTTTTAGCTGATCCCTTTCTGTGAAGGAGAGGGAAGCAGAGAGTGAGAAGGTGGAATTTTACTGCTTTCTTTTGCAGGAGGGGGATATCCTGAGCAAGAGAGAGAATGAGGAGAGAGAAAGTTGCTGGGGTTGCTAAATTCAGATTTTAACAATAAAGGAAAGGGGGAGGGGTTTTGACACAGACGAGACCTGAGACTGCGACAACAGAAGAGAAGGAGAGGCTGGTCGTTACTGCTTTGGAGACTAGCGGCCATCCGAATTTTGATTATTGGTACTTGTGCAAGTTATACACATTGTGGGGAGTTGCCCTTGAGGAGCGAACTGTTACTGCAGAACGCTGACTACCTTCGTTCGTGTTCCTATTGCTGCCTGGAGCTGGGTTTTTCCCCACCCCACTTGTTTCCAAACGGTCGCTGTGAAATCATTGACTATTGCTGCTATGACTGCCTGGGGCTGTTAAACACCGTCACGCATTGACTATCGGGGCTAGGAAATGGTCACCTTTGTTCCTGAAAGCCCCCCCTTTGACAACAAGAGCCTGCCACCTCCTCACTTCGCGTGAGCTTCTGCTAGAAAAGACACTTCACTAACACCTTGAGAGCTCAGCTGCAGAGCGCGACGGAGGGGAGTAGGGCTGGGAGGGCCTGGGCTTTGGCGACCTCTGAGGAGGTAATGTTACAATTTGTTTGTGGTCATTACAAAAGAGCAGCAGTTCAACCAAATTCATCCACATTTCCTTTCTTGATAAGCAGATGCAAGTGTATGATGAGAGGAGAACGAAGACAAAAGTTGTTTTTTTTAAAATAAGCTACTCCAAAAATAGGAACAACAAAAAAGTGCACACCTTTTCTGTGCATCCATCAGCTCAGTGCTTCTTTGTTCCCCACTCTAATGGAAATAAATTTTCCAATTTACAGTGTTTTGACTACACACTGACAATGGATGGCACTGTCTATATTAAGCTAATTAATTAGATTGCCTTGCCAATTAATTGGGTAGCTGCCTCCAAACTACCCAAAAAGTCATTTTTGGGATACTTGCCAAGGCTTGCATATGTTACAACTATGTTACAACTACATTAACAGAATTTTAAAGAATTAGCAGGCACCATATAATCCTGGTATTAGAAAGGTGTATTTGTGACACAAAGTCCACATTCCATGTTCTCATGTTAAGGTTAAATGGTGACTCAACTGGTCCTATTCCACATCCTGATCTGGAGTTGCTAAGAGCAGAAAATATGCACCTAAAATTTCAGAATCATCCAAACTTCTGGGACTCAAGTCCGTGCTTAACATTTCATAAATCAATTCTCCATCCATTTAGTCTTATTCTCAGGTTTGAAGATAGAAATATATGTACTATTGATCGCAGAAACTGGTCCACTACGTAGTCTTATGCCAGCTGTTTTTTGTTTTCCTCTGGGATAGTATTTATAGTTTAAGAATTAAAATACCTTTGTTGCACTTTAATTCAAAACTCAGTTTCTGATAAAACTCTAGTTCTTCTCTATTGCTCCCCTAGGAACTTACCATGACACTCCACTCCTTAGGTTAAGTGCTTTGAAGTTATTTATAATGTACCCCTTTGTATTCAAGGAAATAGCAGCCTGTCAACCTAACAGAGCGGAGCCTCGGCAGCAAAGGGAAATGTACACCGGAGTAAATTTCCCCAATTCATTTGAATTCCTGAAGTGCTTATTCCCTGAATGCAGAAAAGGAGATAACGCATACTGGCACGTGTTATTTCATAGTGGACTTAAGCTACATCCTACCAGAACTGCAAAAAAGTTCTCTCTATTGCTGACAAAATCAGATTTATTAATTAGCATCCTATAACTGTTCATTCTTTATCCAAATCTATAAAACTGCTGTAAAGGAAGGAAGGTATGTGTTAATGCAAACCGTCCTCTTTTATCAGAAAAACTCTCATTTTTCAACTATGCCCAAAAAGGGGAAAATAAAATACATTTGCCCAAAACAGGTATAGTAATTTGACTGATGAAACAATGGCCAAATACTTAAGGGAGTAAATTATGGAAGCAAAGAAAGTTGCTTTTTTTAAAACACACACACAAAAAAAACCTTTTGCTAAGTTATGAAATGTCTTATTGTGACACATTATACCTTATGTAGAGAAAACCGTGAAGAATGTGGGACAAACTGGACAATCTTTCTTGATTTTTATCATGAAACTTCAAATAAGAATGTCTATGGAGATTCTCAATCGTCGAGGTCACAGTTGTCCCAAAGGTGCTTTTCAAAAGGCAATTGGACTTCCTTGGTTTTTTTCCTTGAAAACGTTTCAGTTCTCAGCCAAGAAAGTCCAGTTGCCTTTTGAAAAGCACCTTTGGTTCAAATAAGAACACTGATATAATAATACCCTTTTTTATAAATGAAAATAAAATGTTAAAAATAATTACATGCAGGAAAACAAAGACCCTGTTACAAAATGGGTTCCCTACTGTCAGGTCAAACAGGGCTTAGGAGAATGGAGCCAATTCTTCGTCCAAGGACAAGCCAGCTTCAATCCCATTTCATTCCTACAACCAACCTTCCCCAATCATATACCTCCAACCGTATATTCCACAATATACAGGTTTGACTCCAGATACGTGACCTTAAAACTCTCAATTCTCAATTTAGTATTGGAACTGTTAGGAATTACAGTAGTTTAAATTTATACATCTGAATAGGATTTACTTTTGTGAAATTACCTTAGATTTCCTTAGACTAAACCCTAACCCTAACCCTAATCCTAATGTAAACCCTAACCCTAATCCTAACCCTAACCCTAAAACCTCAGTATTCAGGTTAAATTGCCGTGTTGGCACTTTGCGATAAATAAATGGATTTTGGGTTGCAGTTTGGGCACTCGGTCTCTAAAAGGTTTGCCATCACTGCCTTAGAGTATACTGCAACTTAATTTGATTCCAACTGTCCAACATATCATTATAACAAGTTACACACTCTCAGGTCTTGTGATGGAATGTAGTCTGGATTCCCAGGAGGGAGGGAGTGCATTCCAAAGGAACAAGACAACTCAGTTTACATAGTTTGTGTGAGAGAAAGAAGGTGAAGATGGCGCCTTCTTAATAGTTCCCAGAGTGTATGTTTTATTAGGGTAGTAGTTTGCTTTGGCAAGATTCTATCTATAGGTGAGGAACAATAAAGAAATCTTCTTAAAAGAATTCTAAGTTTTTGAGGCCTGACAATGCATTTCCTTATACAGTAGTCACATAGTTGCAGTCGCCCCAGCCATGTGATCAAAATTAGGATGTTTGGCAACTGGCATGTATTACCAACCCTTGCAGCATCTTGGGATCATGTGGTTTTCATAGATTGTACCGTCCCTGAACTCATTCATGCAACTTCATCTATGGATGGCTAGTATTCAGAGGACTTCCAGTGTCATAGTTTATGATAACAATTGTTCCATGAAGAAAATTTGTTTTGATTGCTTTTGTTCTTTAATAACTATTTTTATTGTTTGTAAATTGTCTTGTTTTGCATTCTTTGCATACCAATCTTGACTCTTTTGGGAGGAAAAATGGACTAAAAATATAAATAGCAGTTGGACAGCACCCTTTTCACAGCCACTGAAGTTACTGGCTCTACAAATGTCTCAACTCTCGGCCAATCTATACTATTTTTTCATTACACTGGCTGAAAAAAAATTACATTGAAACATTTCTATGGATTCACACAAGGGAAAGATTCTCAAGCTGGAATCTGTGCTATAATTTTGCTTCACTACAGAACCTCAGCAGATGATGGCAGCATTTAACTGACTTGAGCTTGAAAACTAAGCACACTTGGGATTGATTAATGCTCAAGTGGGAAACCTCCAGGGAATAGTAGGGATGTTAAGTCTAGACTGGAGAATTTTAAAACACGCCTCAATAATAGATAAAAGCCATTTTTGTACTGCTGCCAACGAAGCTACATGGATACATTCATAAAGTCACCAGAAATCAAACTCAGTAAAGGATCTTTCTCAACTGCCCAGTTTTTCCCCATAAAACTAACAGCAGAAATTCGGGGCTGTATTCAAGTAAGCATGGGGGTCTCATGAACACACAGAAAAACAGAAGAGAATCTGCAAGCAACCCAGAATTTACTATATATTCAAGTCTCATTAACATCCATTGAAATAAGTAGGGTTACAGGTAAATGCAGAATATTCTTCTTTTTTAATTTCCAGCTTTCTATGTCTGCAGCAGAAAAAGGAAGACATTCCTTGAGGAGATTGTGAAATGATACCTCTTGAGACATTCTGAAACTTTTAACACATGAATAGTGAATTAATGTTGAAAAGAAATTATTTAAATTTCAGAGCGCTGAAGTTTAATAACATATAATCTATGATTCCAAGTGTTTCTTCACACATTGCAAACACCGAGTTTTAGTATTTGCTGTCATGGCGCCACAAGCAATGCTACTTATGGATATTTTCAACTTAAGTGAATATTTAATGTTAACAATTTGGTCAGAAATTTCAAAGAAGCTTGTTTTCTGCATTGCCTCAGAAACTTCAGCTACTCAGATGAAAAATAAACAGAACCTTGAGTTAAATTTCCTCAAACATTGTGATGTTATCATTGCATAAATAGTCATCTTCTTAGTGCAACAGTGATAAAAGAAGTTTGTTCCCAATATGTAATGGGGATACAGGCCTACTCAATGCTAAAGAAAGATTGACTAAAGAGTTTTCCATTGTGCACAAGAGATTAGTATTCAGCAGCTGCAAGGATACCTTTGCATACCTATATTCCTTTTGGACAATTTTCTTGTCAAATTTGGAATTGATCATGAAGTCATTAAAGATCTTTGTCATTTCTCCTATGATAAGGGTTTAAGGAGAACAAATATTCTTAGCCCTAAATAGAACAATTTTCTGTAGCACTTGTCAGAGGATCAATGCTTTGGCAGTGCTCTCTACCAAGAAATGAATGATTCAGAAAGTTCCAAATTTCAGCTACTGGATAAACCATTACAAGATAAAGCAAATTATATAATATATATAACATCATGCGCCTCTCAAAAGCCCATCTTGAAAATGATGGAAAAAGGTCACAAGGCTAGCATCAAGTTCCTAATGGCAGGTTTGAACTAAGCTGAAGATTTCCAAACACTCAACAAATGATAGCTAGTAAAAAAATCTTTCTTATAAACTAAGATTAAAGCTACTTTAAACAGTTCATTGACTTGTGACAGTTAAAGCTGTTGTCTGCATCTTATACCCTCTTGAGTTTAAACTCAATAGGTCTTCCCACTCTTTCCAAATCTTAATGGAAATACTGTTTTATGCTATTCATGTGCTATGTAATCAGGTGGCTGTTGTTTCTTTACATTTTTAGTATTCCTCCTTTGAGAAATTCTACTTCTCAATATATATTCTACATCTATCATCAATACATGGATTGTCACAGGTACCGGAGCTAATAGAAATCACACTGGCTTGCTACTGCATATTTTCTTATGTTTTAAAAAAAATCATTATATACTCAGGGAGGAGCATTTGACATTGCACATAGAAAATAATGCCCATTTTTAGATTCAAGGACTAAAGTGTTATAGCATCACTATCTATGATAAATTACCTGTATCACTATCTATGATAAATTACTTGTATCACTCAAAGCCACAGCCACAAACATGCAAATTATATTTTCCACGATTACAATACAAACAAGATCCTATTAAGGCTACAGGTCAGGAAAAGTTAGTTACTGAAACTTTTGTGCCAAGCTCATTGTTGAAGGAAAGGAAACCCTACCTAGAGTATTGGGATTTATTTGTATTTGTTACTTGTACTTCTAAAGGGTTGTTCTCCAAAATGGCTCCAAGTAGCATGCAGCAGAATAATGCTTAGAAATATCACAGCAATGACAATACATATTTACCAAGTTAAAATTGGTGTACAAGATTTACAGTATAATTCTGCAAAAGTTATAGTGGCCGTGAACCTGCTGTTCAAATAGAGGGTGTGAATCCAGTGAATTCCTAAATTGTGAGCAAATTCCACCTGTAGGAGTGTATCTAGAAGTAAATATAGTACATTACTGCAGTCAGAAGGTTTATATATCCGTAGTTTGCTGAATTCAGCCTATGTCTATTTTCCCTCCTCCAGATCCTGACAGCCTCTACAACTGAGTATCTCCCCTATTACCTGTCTTCCCAGAACTGGAAAAACAGAACTGAATAACATCTATATATTAATAATACCCCAAACCATGCTGACCTGTGGCATCATCCAGAGGCTTCATGTAGTTATTAAACAGGGTGAGGGAAAGGACTGAGCCATGCAGTTCAGTAGCCATGGTTCAACATCTCCTTCCACTGTCTAGAATTGACAACTCAAGGAGCAAAGCCACCAAAGCATCATGGCTTCCCTCCTAAATTTTGCAGCTGCTCTAAAAGGATACCATGGTGGATGGTACCAAAGACTGCTAACAAGTCAAGTGAGTGCAAGACAATTAGACTCTTCCTATTCCAGTCTTACTAGAGGCCATCAAGCTAGGAGATCAATGTGGTTTTGGTACTTTACTCAGACCTGAATCCTTACCGACAAGGATCAAGATAATCCATTTCTTCCAGAAGTCTCTGTAGCTGTGCACTCATTACCTACTCTACCAGCTTTTTTTTAAAGAGAAGATTAAACACAGGGCAGTCATCTGCAATAGCTGGACCAAGAGTTGGCCTCTTGAGAAAGGAATACATCAGTACCTCTTTCAAAACTATCAAGAAATGCTTCTCGCCCAAGGATGTATTACCACTTCAAATACCCAGCCCCTATTACCTTCTTTTTATTAATCAGGAGGGACAGAGATCCAGTCCACACCATGCTGGACTTAAGGTACAGAGAAGCCGGTGTGCTTTCTCAGGACTCACTGGCTCAAAACAATCACGGGTAACTAAGCAAAATGATGTCTCAGTCATCTCAATTGGGTCTGCTCCACAAATAACCAGCTGCACACAAACATAAGTTAACATCCAGATGCAGAACAAATTCCATTCAAAGGCCCATCAACAATTTTGGAATCATGGTGAAGGAGTGGTAAAGGCCAACTGCTTTTTCTTCCAGTACAGAATAGTCAAACAAAAGTCACAAGGATTAATTTTACTGACAAGCTTTGTTTAAAAGTCCGGATGCTAAACTCCCTATTACAAGGAATATAATGCTAGTATACCAACCTAGCAACAAAATGGAGAAGAGAACTTAACTTTCATTCTAGCCTGCCTCTTAATAAGACCAAATTTAAAAAAGATTCAGACAACCAATATGATTACCATCTCTTTAGCATCATCCGCTTTTGAGAACTTTAAGAAAACATGACATTTGCACTGACATTGAAGAGGTCAAGCTACATTTAGAATTGCCTAGAACAATTGAAAATAATCCATTGAAAAATTGTTAATAATCTTCCCAAATACCTTTTTCCAACTACTTTTGTGACACGCAACAATAACCACCATGAAGAGGCAATGTGCTTTGAAAACCTCTTAGAATGAGATTTCACAAAATTATGTCCTCTTTTATCAGATACTCAGAGGGAAGCAGCTGCCTGCCTGAATAATAAAAGATTTTTAAAAGGCTGTTATAACAATTGCATTGACTCCTAGTTTATTTCCCAACACATTTCAGAGTTCTGTCACTTTTGAGCAAATCTCATCCTTAAAGGGCTATGCAGCATATTGCAAAAATTCTACCACAATATTACAGAAGAACACCATAAATTGCATCATCATGACAGATAACCACGTACAATTTGACTACAAAATCAATGAAATAGGATGGTAGAACTTCATACCTTTCAACTCCTCCAGATCTGACATTAAAAATTTACCTCCCATTGACTGATTACTGATTAATTTATTTTTACAATTAAAAACAAAAGCAAACAATATAGGGAAACAATAAAATGTATTATAGATACCTGACAGCTGTAGACAAATAAAAAGATACTGTATTTACCAAAGCTGTTTGACAGCTGGACATCTGATAGTGATGGCCAGTGCAGTGAAATTAGCAATGTGCTTGGAGATATCCAGTGACCTGTGGGCTAAGAGCACCCTGGTGTAAGAGTAGGTTGGAAAATACAATATTAAGTTGGCTGACCATGCTGAATAGAAGGACAAAAGAGCCTGTTTCTTTTTCTTCCAACAAACAGGTGCAGTGTGTGTCCTTTGTGCAGGGATGTGTTCAGTCTTTTAACAGTGAAAATGGCAAAATATTATAACCAACAAGTGAGAGTGAATGCTCTTCTGTGGGATGGGCAAAGAATATTTGCTAAATTCTTAGCATGGGAGAACAGCCTCTTGAACCAAGGAATGGGTTTTGCTCAGGTTCTGCTATATGGTGGCATTAGTTCCACATGCAGATAATTTTAGTCAACTTAAAAAGAGAGGATTGAGTAACAGGGAAATAGAAGGGACACTTTGCCCACAACGGAAATATATTGCACAAGGGAAGGTGCAAATCATCAGCACATGACTTATGGTTTGAAAACATGCCTTAACAGTTATTTTCCTAGAATCCTAATAGGCACCCTATGCAAAATATCCAGACCCCAAAACCCAACTTTAACCTGCACTTCACTCTAACACCATGCGAACCAGCATATAGTCCTCCAAAGAGCCAGACAAGAGGAAATTTGCTCCAAAGAATTTCTAGGTGAGTGACCAGAGAAAGGCTATATCAGGGAAACTCTTTTTTCTGACCTTTTCCCCACACACACATATCCCCTTCAGTAGGCATTAAAAAAAGTGTACAACCCCTTATTTTCTTCTGGATGGAGCTCCAGGTTCCTGCTTCTCAAAACTTCTCTCCCCTACAGTGTCCTGAGTCACACAATATACTAACTAAACCATAAACCCGAGGGCCATTGTTATGTTCATACAACATGCTAGATGCAAACAAAAAAAAACATATTATGGTATAATGTGATATGTTCAGTTAATTTACTGTAACTGTTAACAGCTGAGCTCCTGCAACATGCTAAACTGCAAACTACCTAACTCCACTTTGTGTTGTGTGAATTCAGCCAGTCAGCACCTTGCAAGAGTCTACACTATGGATGTATCAAGTATCTGTAATTGTTCCAAACAGAATTGCAGCTGTCAGATCAACCAGCTACCAAATACCTTCAAACAGAACAATCATAAGTATGCCTGAGGTTATACTTGCAGCCCCAAATCAATGCCAAGACCAGTTCCTAGCTCACTATAGTTTAAATATAGTTCAATTTAATTTTTTTTCTGTTGTGGTACTTCATTACCTATTGGCTTGGCTTAGACCTGGCTTAAAAACAGTTATTGTGAGATGGATCTTGGAGTCCTAGTGGACGATCACTTAACTATGAGCCAGCAGTGTGCAGCAGCAACCAAAAAAGGTAATACAATCCTGGGTTGTATAAACACAGGCATAGAATCAAGATCACACAAGGTATTAGTACCGCTTTATAAAGCCCTAGTAAGACCACACTTTGAATACTGCAGCCAATTTTTGTCACCATATCACAAAAAAGATGTTGAGAGTTTGGAAAAAATTCAAAGAGCAACTAAGATGATCAAAGGCCTGGAGACTAAAACATACAAAGAATGGCTGCAGAACTTGGGTTTGGCTAGTCTAAAGAAAAGAAGAAATAGGGGAGATATGATAGCAGTGTTCCAGTATTTGAGGGGCTGCCACAAGGCAGAGGGGGTCAGGTTGTTCATCAGAACACCAGAGGGAAGGACAAGAAACAATGGTTGGAAACTGATCAAAGAGAGAAGCAACCTGGAATTAAGGAGAAACTTCCTGACAGTGAGGACAATTAACCAGTGGAACAGCTTACCCTCAGAAATCGTGGGTGCTCCATCACTGGAAATTTTCAAGAAGAGACTGGATAATTACCTGTCTGAGATGGTATAGGTTCTCCTGCTTAAGCAGGGGGCTGTACTAGAAGACCTCCAAGGTCCCTTCCAGCTCTACTCTACTCTACTCTACTCTACTCTACTCTACTCTACTCTACTCTACTCTACTCTACTCTACTCTACTCTACTCTACTCTACTCTACTCTACTCTACTCTATTCTATTCCAATGTGCTCTACACTGAAAAGGATCCAGAAGCTTTAGCTGGTACAAAATGCAGCTGCTTGAGCAATCTTGGATGCCCAAAAAACAGCGCATTAAAGGCTGGTTTCTTTCCAGATCAAATTCAAAGTGTTGGCTATGATCTCTTTAAAGTCTTAAATGCCAGAGGCCCAGGTTACCTATAGAATCATCTTTGCCCCATCACAACAGTCTGTAGGCCGGGAAGATATGTATGCATATATATATGTGTATGATATGTATACATACATACATATCTTCCCTATCTACTGGGTAGGACAGACTGATGTTGTCCTCCTGAGCTTAGCCAATCATATTAATGAGAACTTAGATCAGCTAACTGGCTTATTTGCCCTAGTGGTTTTAATGTAGATATGAAACTGCAGTGAGGGAAGGATAAGGAAAAGAAAGAAAAAGGAAAATCTTGAGAGAATCCCAAAGTTCTCCCAAGGTTGAACTCCCCCGCCCCCGCCGCCCCAGGATAAACAATTTCTGAATCCTTTCCTCAAGAAAGGATCAAAGCCCAACTCCCCAAATCAACCCAGAAAGATACTATTGGCGACAGTACTAAAAGCCATTCCAAGTTTTTTCTATTCCCTTAAATTCTCCTAGTAGGCTGACCAATTTTATTTTTATCACAAAACCAGGTAGAAAAGCACAGAACAATTCATATAATTACTATGGTGCAAGATGGCGGGAAGTCAGACAACATGACCTATAATCTTTCTGAAGAAAAAAAAATAGAATCCAAAAGGTAAGGGATTACATACATCTTCAAGAATTTTGAAGAAGGTAAAGGCTACAGGATTACATCTTCAAATACTCAGGAAATGAAACCAAAGGTTTACAAGGATTTAAACCAATCTCTGAAGGCATTCTTTGGTTAAAGCTCTGTTCTCTTTCAATTCTTGCTAAACACAATCAATCTTCTATTGATCTTGGTGTTTTTTCAAACACAGTAAATCAATTTTAGCTCTTGCCAACACCAATATAATTTGGGGATATGCTCTCTAGAGACAAGCAAGATGGTTTTTTGAGTATTATATTGCTATAGTTCAGAACAATAAACCTTTAGGAATTTGGATCATATCTACATAAAGAAGAGGGAGTCAAGCTATTTTCCAAAGCGCCTGGAGGCAGGACAAGAAGCAACGGGTGGAAACTAATTAAGGAGAGAAGCAATCTAGAACTAAGGAGAAACTTCCTGACAGTGAGAACAATTAACC